TCATGGAGTTTACGGCCCGTGAACCATCCCTAATGGAGTTCACAGCCGTAAACTCCTATATCATGGGTTTAAATGAAGTTTTAAGCCCTTAAATCACTCCTAGCATTTTATCGTAATAGTCTAAGGCCATTTAGGGGACAAAACTTAATGCTTTGGCATGTTTAAGGGTGTTTATGGCCTTGACATGTGTCTAGGCCGTAAACTCCTTTTAACCCCTTAAATCTTTGTGTTTGGATGATCTAAACCCGAAATAGCAAGCCCCTGATTCATGTATTAAGCCTAAGGGTGGTTTGGGAGTGTTTTTGGGGCATTTTAACAAGTTTTAGAGGTGTTTACCGCCTAAGCATGTGCTTGGGCCGTAAACTCTCTTTTATGCCCTAAAATCCTATGTTTTAATGATTAAAACTCCTAGACAATTTCCTTAATTGGTTCCTAGGCTCAATGGGACAAGTTCGGGTCATTTTGGCCACATTTAAGGGGTTTACGGCCCTAGAGTGTTCCTGGGCCGTAAACTCCTCTTTGACAGCTTTTATGGTCGAATTTTGGGGTATAATCACAACTCATAATATTTAGAACAAGCGAGGGTAAGTGGACTTACGATTTGGAAGCGTTTGGTTGCGGATTCGGGTAAAAAAACGAGTCTAGAGAGAGAGTATAGAGAGAGAGTATAGAGAGAGAGGGTGGAAAAGACTCAAATGGAGTTTACTCCCCCTTTTATATGGGTGGGATTTGGAGTTTGGTGATATTCTACCCGATACTGTCGTTTAACGGGGCTTTTGGTCGCACCCGATTTAGCGGTCGTAATAATACAAACTAATTTTTCCAACTAAATGGAAATGTGTATTATGAGTTTTTATTTGTCTTATCACGACCTAACGACATAAAGATATAAATAAATAATATATTTACTAACTTGGCGACCTCTAATTAACGGAATTTTTATACAGTGGAATATTCCGTTACCGGTAACGGGGTAATGTAACGGAATGACTTTGGGTTGTCACAACATTGCTATTTAACAAAGTAACCATTTGATTTCAATCCAATGACCCATTTCATTTCCAGTAACATGAAACGCATGTAAGATCCCTTCGAAAACAAAATGAATTCTTCACTTACTTCTTCAAAGTACAATCGATGATCGTAGATGCGAAATTTTGACGATCGACCTTTAGCCACTCGGTATGCTTACACATAAAAAAAACATCATTTCCAGTTGCTATCAATGAGAAGTAGAACCAACACCAGTCGACATCAATACCACCAATCATCAAAAAAGAATTCAGACTCTTCGACCATAAAACCTTCATTCAATTTTTTTTTAAATTCGTCCTTAAGATCGACTTCAAAATCATGATTCACACCAAATACTCAGTTGTTAATATCCAATCAAACATAAATCGAATACACAACCTTTGATTTTGACTATTAAACTAAAATCAAAACTTCAATTTATGACCCTTCTGATACGAACTCAAAGACAAATAAAAAACAACTTCTATCCCAAAATCAAGTAAGGACATTCGACTTACAAATCATCTACCGTATTCAACTTTAAATCCAAATCACGAAACACTCGCCGATAATCAAGATCGATTTTGAGTTCAAACTAAATCAATCAAAGTTGACTTTAATTTCAAAAGAATGATTGTCGACTAGGATTAACCAACAATATCACGGAAATTAACCTTGATTCACACTCACCAATAAAAACTATAAGAATCCAGTTCGATTCTAAGCTTTATTGACTCAAATCGAATACAACGAAAATTGAAATCGTTATCAAATTCTGCAACCGAACTTGATTCGAATTCTCAGTCGAAATCGATATTAACTCTAAACAATTACAATTTTGATTTCGATTCATCAACCCAATATGTTCAAAACTACAATTTTGACTTCATTCTTTGATTTTGACTTAAAGAATGAACATATTTTATTTTGAACAATGAATAAATGATTGTGAATTGCGGTGGAAATATGTGAACAATACTCTAAAATTTAAGTTTGGGCTTAATCGAGATTCAGACTTAACGAATAAGGGTCATATGAACACTACCGATCAATAGAAATTGGGCTTGGATTGATGAACAATAATTATTTTTATTTGGCTTAAGATTTAATCAAAACAAAATTAATGTTTTTTTTTTGTCTTGATCTAATTTTTTTTGTTGGATCACCAATGGTGTAAAAACGGATTAGATCCAACGAAAAAACTGATTTAAAAATCAAGAATGTAACGCGTGATTCAATGAGATTAAGAGAGATTATAGAGAGAAACTCACTATAAATGCTGCAATTTTGACAAATTTTGCCAAATCGAGAATCATTTCTTCAAACAATCGTGTTGATCTTCGAAGACCAATTCTGATACCAATTGTAGTGATTTATGAACATGGTTTGACATGTGAAATTAAAGAACACACAATGAACATGATGATTTGGGTGCTAAAATGTGTATCCGATCATAGTAATTGAGTACAAAAATGGAACTACTCTAGAACTTCATAAACATCTCATTCACTAATCACTATGAACTATATCTCTTAAGCACACCTCTACAAGTGGTATGAACCCACATTATATAGAGGTGTTTACATGTCTCTCTCTCACTCTCCATCTCATAAGTCTAAAGGCTAAAGCACCACATGCAAGTGGGTCTTACAAAAGTCAACACATTTACAAAGTCATACATTGATAACTTTGCACCTAACGTTAAGGAGAGGCTAGAATGTTAATGAAGATGGAAAAGATACAAGTTAGAACAATAAAGCCTCTAAGACTTATAAGTCTTCATGAGGAGATAAATAAAGCACAACAACTATACAAGACAATTAGCTAGAAAGAGGATAAAGGAGGATATATGCTCTCGAATTTTGCTAAGGAAAAAAGAAGAATCAAATAAACTAGTTAAGGTATCCTCTCTTCTTAATATAGTCCTACACCTAAATGAAAGCCGATGCTTTCATTAAACGAGTTGATGTGTTGCAAGAAACATAATGGTTTAAGAAGAAGTTAAAAAAGTAACCAACAATACCTTGTAAGAAGGCATGGATTGTTTTAAGATGAAGAAGAGAGAGTTAATGCTTTCCACATCACTCTTTCATATATTATGTAGACAATATATTAAATTGTCTTCTATAGATCCATAATGTTGTACATAATGTTATAGTCATACTATATGATAATATGTAACTAGTTATGATATCTTTAATTATTTTTTTTTTCTCAAAAATAATATTTTTTCAATTCAATACAAGTGTTGATTTAACATATTAATAATCATATTACTTAATAAATAATCATTTAGTATTTACTTGTTAGATGATATGATTCTATAATATTATATATTATTAACAAATATTATTTTATAATGATCCTTAAGAATAAAGATCTTTCATTTATGTGGATTGTCACCCACATAAATGACCAACACCACCAGCCTCAACCGTACTTAAAGTTATAATCTTTTCTATCCATACTGTTTTATAGAAAATCACAAGAATATCTGAAGGAAAACTAGTATTTTTTTTAAAAAAAATTTAAATTATTTATTTATTTTTTGGTTTTGGTTTTGGTTTTGATTTTGATATTTTTTTTTTCTTTCTTAGAATAATAATTACATAAGTAATAATAATTGAGCAATATATTTTATTTAATATATCATGATTTGATGTAAACAATCTTATGCAGACTTTTTGCATACACTAATGACTAAGAACAAGCTATGATTAGCATCATGTAGGCCTACATTTTCATTCTAAACAAGTCTATATTATAGTATAATCATGTCATACTATGCTTTATTTTGTAAAAGGTTTTTCAAACTAGTGTTTTTTGGCATATGAGTTAGAACATATAACGGTTGCAAACAAGGTTTGATAATCACGAATATTGTTTGTTCACTTTTCGTATTAATTAAGAACATTGTTTGTTCATTTTTGGTATTGATATTTTATTCTTTATGCTTGTGGTTTATGAGTAATAATTTAATTTGGAATAATTCTTAGGTTATCCACAACATATTAAATTTTATAGAGTTTAATGGATTTTCATATTATTTTTTTACATTTGTACAACTCTATCAATTCAAAAAAAAAATTTAAAAACTAATTTATAATATATATTTAAGAATTAAAAACTTTTCTTATTGAACTCTAAATCATTTGAATGTTAATATATCATTTAACTATAGTAGAGTTTAATCAATTAAATAACAAATAAACTTAGTTACTCATTCAACTCTTCTATTGAACTCACCATTATAAACGCTTTTAAGAAACAAATTTTGATTCACAAAATAGAAATAGTATTTTTGGAGAGTATATATATAGATGTTAAAACAAAATATATATGAGTGCATATACTGCCCAAGTCAAGCTGCTATACGTAGGTTAGGCTACTAGTTTGGCTAAGGTTGTTTCATCGTCAGCTGCCTCTGAACAAACCCAAAAACATATGTTTCTTCAACGATCCTTCATTCTGATCATGTTTTTTCACTGCCATCCAAGACTAATATTTTGCCGATATTTTGGGACGTTGCTTTCGTGGTTTACAAGATCAAATTGATTATATATACAAATTCGTACTCTATACCACCTGATTTATATTATACTCCATATTTTAAATTCCCATTAATTGGCAGTACAGTGTTATTTCGAGTTATGATAAATTGCTGGTGACACTATAATTAACAACAGAAAGTCATAACTCACCTAACAGAAGTTTAGGGCTAATCCAAAATATGTGAAAGATTAATGTTGCATTATGTTTGATATTTAATTTAGGTCATAACGTCATTATTCTCCAATTTTATCACACGGGACTTATTAAACATTGTTTTTTTGTTTTTTTTATTATACCAAAAGTTAAAACCATCCCCAATTTTGACATCATTCTCATAACTCGATTGAAAACAATATCGGTCTCATATACTTTTGCAAAAGCTCGTATATACGAGATCAATGCAGTTTATACGATCCAAGTCTATAGAACCTGATTTAAACGACTATGCGATAAACCTGCAGGCTTACACAATAATTCTTAATTAGCACAATCAATATAATGTTTAATAAAAAAGATCATGTAGAACTATGTGCTTTGAAACATAATATATTTAATATGATATGCGTTAGTATCTAATGATGACGTACATGACATGAATATTAGAATGTCAAGAACATATAATATAACTAAAGATAATACCTTAAATAACCTAGCTACTAAAGATAATACGTTACAGCAATTTATTAATCGAATTACAGTTAAACAATCCAAAACCCTAATTAGCTTAGAGATCCTTAAAAATGAAATAACGTACGAAAGTAGTTGACAAAATAAGTCTTTTTGTCAAGTTCATATTACGCAACTTCCGTAATTATATGCATATATAGAAGCAAAATTACTTGAAAGGGGCTGTCAAATCTTTGCTTCCTTCACTCAACATCGAATTCCACTCCCAAATCCTATCGGGAAATGTCACATGAGCAGCTCCACCTCCTGGCAAGTTATTACTAAGTGCAAGAAGCGCTTGTGAGCTCAACTGTGGCTGAAGTTGTTGTTGTGGTTGCAGTTGCTGTTGTGGTTGAGGCAACATATTATTAAACAGATGCGGCGAATAGTTTGAAGAATCACCGAGGTGATAATTATGAATATTCAGAAGTTGAGAGGGTGGGCAAGTGTCAAGAACTCGTTGAGAACTTATAATTCTCGGAAGATCATCAACACTGTTAGGGAAGATAGTTGAAGAGGGGGTGGCAATGACATTGTGGTATGAGGAGTTGAGAGGGTTCGAAAGGCCGAGAGCAGTTCCAACAATGGCGGTGGGGGTGCAACTGGTTGTATCACTAGGTTTTTCATCAGTTTGGTGAGAAGATTGGCCTTCAAAACAAGTGAAACTCGAAGAATTCTGGGATTGCTGATTGATATGATAATTTGAGGTTCTTGAGTTACTCCTTGTTTGAAGAGAACGAGGGAGAGATGGATGATCTTCTACTCCACTTCGCTTGTAAACCCTACACAGCGATATCTCAGCCTGCAAAAACGACACCATGAAAACCACGTATATATTTACATACTAGCAAGCATTTAATTCTAGCGGTGATATTGGTCTGTAAATTAAGAGAGAGAAGTACGCATTTAAAGCTTGCGGTGACCTTGGCAGACGAGTTATAGTTTAACTCTAATCATTGCTGTTCGACCTTTTGTAATCTTTATGTTTCATGTTGGAGTTCCTACTGCTTTCATTTTGGTTTTTAAATCTAGAAAACCAAACAAGTGAGAATTAAGTATACAGACCTTTTGTAATCTTTCCGTTTCATGATGGGGTAATCGGTATTCATTCATGATCCAACTACTTCGAATGCCTTTAGGAGCTTTTCCCGAGTAAAAAACAAGGGTTTTCTTTAATCCGATGGATCTGGAATTATCAGTTCTAATCATTCTATCAGCTCCGGTAGCTTTCCAGTAGCCTGAAGTTGTCACACGGTTAGGTCGATCCCCATTACGGTATTTCTTATCTCTTGGCACATAGAAAAACCATTCTTTCTCGCCGATTGCTGCTAAAGCTGAAACACAGTGTAAAACAAAATCCAAAATTTAGACCTAAGGTAAACTCACTATAAACATAAAGACTAGTAATTCAGAAAGAGTAGAATCTGAATCAGGATAGACTTGTAGTATCGAGCAAGAAAGACAAAGTAATTTAACGAAAGGAAAGAATAGATCGATCACACAGAATTATGCGTAATCCAGATATATAGTGGATAAGAGAAGGGAGAAACGATTGTCACATACAGACAATGACTCGATGAAGAAGAAGAAGAATTGGATCCAAATATGTTTTGATAATGGAATTACAAGACACACACACACACACACTGTTTGTGTAACTAGAGTGATTTATACCAGGTAGTTCCCACGGATCGTATCGGTAAAGATCAAGAAAAGTGATGAGCTCAACATTGAATCTCTTGCCCTCTACCTTACGGCGAAGGTAGAACTCAACAAGCTCTTCCTCCGTTGGATGAAATCGAAACCCTGGCATCACCATGTCGTTTTCATGATCGTCATCCTCGTCGTCTTCTTGCTGCTTCTTGTTTCTTATCTCTTCTTCTTGGTTCATCGTCCTTGCTCCAATTGCCATAAACCGTTGGCTGATACCTTCTTAAACACCAGTATAATAATTGTAAAACCCTTTCTTCGAACAAGACAAGTCATATACGTGGTATATAAAGGTTGCACATGTATGCTAAATTACAAAAAAAAGGAAAAATGAAATTTAACAGTATCAAGAATGATACATTTATCCGTACCAAAGATGAAAAGAAAATATTTTAAAGAAATTAATTACCAATTAGGTCTCGTGTTTTTTTTTTTATTGACGTGGGTGTGTGTAATTTAGCCCGTAAAAAAGTTACATAAGTTTGACTATCTTTGAATTATTAGAACAACACTCTCCATAGCTTTCAGGGCCTACATATATGGACGATGAAAGCATGCATAGAGGTGGTTTAAAGATGAGAAAGTGACGTTTTGAATTGAACAGGTTGGACACAACACCTTAGCGGTGGGTTAGAGCTTAATTTATTCTACCATAAATCTTTTTTATTACTTATTAGTTATGGCACTATAATTTTCTGATTACTTAAATAAAGATTCATGCTAAATCTATAGCATACATATATGTGCTTTAGGCTTGCTCTTGAATCGTGTATTGTAATTAGTTCTAGGCATTTGTCTAGGGTTGTCACATGGTTAATTTAGAAAAAAACATATCACGAGTAATTGTACATGTAAACTATGATCCGAGCTCTTTGTTGGGCTTGTTTTTCTTATAAAATTATAGCTGTTGAAGAAAATTAAATAAAAGGTAAACAAGTTAAATAATCAACGACTAATTAAGCATGTATAGTTTAATTTCTAATTTTGAACTTAAGGTATTAGTAGGGTACATGCCAGCGAAACTTGTTCCAACAAACATGTCCGTGATCATCATTAAGATTAAGAAGCTAAAATCACAAACGTTTTACGGAAAAATGTAATTTGAGCTTAAGCAATTAATAAATTGTTATGGTATTACTCGGAATATTGTTTTCAATAGACATTAGGTTTGAATATATATGTGACGGTATAACTGTTAGACATTATCTACTTATTGAATTGCCCTAAAGTTTGTATGAACATGTGAAACCCATAAAAGAATTAGGTCAACGAAATGAAATGCTAATGTGTTAAAAATCTCATTTTTGTGTAGTTGTATGGTTATATTGCAGCCTAGATATTTTACTAGATAGAACGAGAGAATTCCATGCTTAAAGTTAAGGGTAAATACAATATGTGGATGTCTCTCGTCCACCAGTTCTATATATGGGTATTACTATGGAAAATGTAGTCTTCCATAACAAGAGAAGTGAGTGATATTTGTTCCTCTATCTCATATCGATACGAACACTATAGGAAACGTGAGTATTGGCGGCGACAAGCACCACCGCTAAATATCATGTATGTCGTAGTTAAAGGCTTTTGTGATGACGCATCGCCGACAATAGTTCACCGTTGTAGCCTTGCTGCAAATACTCCATATGTCGCCATTTTTGCTCTATGTTGCCGCAAATACACTCTCACCGCTAATGCCTAACATTTTCGCTAAAGCCCCCTCGCCACTAATACACGTCTATCGCCATTAAAGGCGTCATCGTTAATTGTATTTCCCATTTTTTTAGTATTTAACACTAAAATTATAAAAAACAATATAACAAGTATAAAAACTGCTACGAAACATTATTTTGTATAAAAATAGTTTGGAACGTTAACCACTTAATAATATATATGATATCCGATCTAAAATATTAATTCAAACATACGGGCCAAAGTACTCATCCAAACATAGTTCAATATATCCAAAATACTAGTCTATATTACTAACCGAAACAAAACATTTCACAAATCCTAAAATAGTAGCTACTCGTCTTAATCACTCCCTTCATTTCATCCGTTTTCATTTCATGGTGGTAACGAGCGAAACCACTATTCTAGTAGCACACTGTAAGTCATGTCTATTATCATTGTTTGCAACATCTCCAACTACAAAGAAAACAAAATATATTACAAACATATCATAACATCATTATACTTTACAAATTAAGGTCATGATTATTATAACTGCCTCCTTTTTTCCATTATAGCATTGTACTTTCCAAATACACTTAAACATATATAGATCCTACACAATATGGCATATACATTATAACATTATACTTTTTTTTTCTTCATCTTTTCACTATAACATCGAACTATACTAAACTAACAATTATCAAACTATAACCAAACTCCATCCTATATAATATTACATATACATTATATATATATATATATATATATATATATATATATTATTCATTTTCCTATTATAGCATTGAATATATATATATATATATATATATATATATATATATATATATTTCATTTTTCATTATAGCATTGAATTATACGAAACTAAAAATTACCAACATATCATTAGAACATTCTACTTTCCAAATACACTTAAATATACATCATAAACAATATTGCATCTACATTATATCATTGTACTTTTTTTTTTCATTTTTCCATATATCATTGTACTATACTAAATTAACAATTACCAACATATCATTATACCATTCTACTTTAGAAAGTAAGGTCATGATGATTATAGTATCCTACTTTTTTTTTTCCATTATAACATTGTTGTTTTTAAATACACTTAAACTAACAATTAGCAGTGATCGTGGTTGTGATTATGTTAGTGGTTGTTTTGATCGTACACAAACACAAACTTAAACAGTTTACGCACGATGCATCTGATATCATCGCGTCGAGATCTCAATATTCTTTTAAAACAATTTTTTATATCGTCTGATGTAAGACCGCTTGCTTCTGAAGAAGCTTGAGTTTGTTAATTCATCTTTTGGAGTAAAACATTTTGTATTTAAAGAAAATGATAAAAATAATATATATATATATATATATATATATATATATACACACACACACACACTTACATGAAAATATAAATTAACTACTTATGTGTTGTTGCCTGATTGTAGGACTACTAAATACCCCTTGACGATCAATATTAGCCTTACGAAATGCTTCGAGTCTACTGATTATCTATTTAACATTAAAATTAGATTAATTATACATTCAATAAACAGTTAAATATATCATAACTTACTTCTTTGAAACATGCATTGCTATATGAGCACAATCCCCCTCTGTATACAACTTGTTGTTGTGCACAGACTCCTTTGTTTGCCTCCGAACACTTTACAAATTCGTACATTTAAAAATTTCCGACTGTGTGAACCTAATTTTTACGTGATATACCCCCCCCCCCCTGTGGAGGGAGGGGGGGGGGTGGCTAATGCCCTTGGGATATCTGTAACCCTTCTGTTATTCTGAAAATAAGTATATGCTTTACTTTTCTGGCCTATGTAAATTTTTTTGTAAGGTCGCATCAATATTGCACAAAAACTAAGCACATTGGGGATCCAAGTTAACCTTATGCAAATCAAACTTTATCTACAAATACAAAAATTTAGTTAATAAAATATCAATCACAACTAAACTTAAAATATTATCCAAGTTACATTTAGATGCACGACTGTGACATTCCTTAAAGCAGGGGAACATTTTCCTAACCAAATACGCTAATAAGGATTTCTCCAACATCTACCCCCAATATCATTTCTAAACCAACTACCACGTTTGCCCGTATCAACTTTGATTGTTGGATGTTTTAGATAGACCTCCTTTTTTGTAGCTTAGTTGAAAAATAAAATTAAACCTATTAGTAATGATAGTTTATAATAAATGAATAAAAATAGCTAATAAATATATCATACAAAGACTTACCATCCTATTCGTGCTGTCTATAACCAGAGCCTCTTGGAGGTAGTGGATCCCTGGCTGCACCATCTCCATTTCCTATGCCCATCACATCGACCATCATATAAAAGAGTATCACCATATATAGCCTGCAAAATTACAACATGTACAATATAGAAACACAATATGAATAAAAGTTAGTCTGCAAAATTATAAGATGTATAAGATAGACAAACAATATAAATAAAAGTAAGCCTTCAAATAAAGTTTCTATTACAAAAAACATACACATTAAAGATTTACATTACATATGATTTTTTTAATCAGAATCTCCTTCATATACTTCAATATCTTCTTTAGTGTCATAGTTAGAATCGTCATCATCATAAACATATTGATTCTAACCATTGACAAAGGTACTTTAGTCTCGTCCTCATCATAATAATCAACGTTGTTTTGAGCTACACCAACATTGTTTTGAAAGTATTGTGAGAAGTTGATAAAAAGTATAGCACCTTATGAAGAGTTGTTCTGAACTACATCCACATTGTCTACAAGTTTGACCTCTACATTGTCGACATTTTGGACTGAGTCACTGTAAGCATTTTAGACACCAGCATTGCTAGATAGTAAATCCCAAATACTTTGATGATTAACATGCTCGACGAAACAATGAGGTTAGTCGTTTTGGTTTCCTCGAGAAGACTCACGGATGTAGAATAGTTGTTTGGCTTGACAAACATATATGATTTGATCATCTTGGTATGCTTCTCATTCTGTATTGATACTAGTGAAATTATCATCCGGAATATCTCCTGTATCGAACCACTTGCACCGAAATATTATAGTCAAATAATCATATGGATATTGCGCCTCTATAATCTCTTCTAACTGTTCATAATATTTGTCTCCATTCTCACCCACCGCTAGAAACCTAGAGTTTTGCATTGCGTGTTGTGCATCATATCTAAGTACCATAAACCTCACATTGTTGACTAAGCATGGGATGTAAGTATAAACATTCATTTGTGACCCCAATGAAAGGGCCGACAACTCTTTGTGGAATTCTGGAGAGTTTTTGTTTCCATTTGAAAAACCTATTAAACTTATATTAATGTGTTATGTATTCTTGATCGTTATATTGATCAAACATATTTGTTTGTTAATTCATTTTACCTTTTCATGATGCTACTTAGGAAATTCGGTCTTTCCATCACTTTTACGATGTTAAGATTTGAATTTTCCATATTGGTGAAAAAAATATATAAAATTGATAAATGCCAAAAAGTAATATTAGATAATGAATGATAAAGATAAGAACACATACTTGGTGTATTGTATGACTTCTTGGCAACTATTCAATATAAACCATTATATATTACATTTTCCCTTAGATCTAGATGTTTGATTTGTGTTGCGCTGGTTGGTTGACACTTAGACTCAAATATCCAAAACTTTTTTTCTTTAGTGAGAACATCCTCGTTTCTTTCGAGATGATTGGATTGAGTCTGCACATGTCGAAGGTACATCGAACCAAATGATAAAGCTTCTTTAGCAACATAACATTCAACTATAC